GCTTGCTTTTGCCAGGGTGTTGAGGCTAGATTTTGACCAACAGGGCTAAGTATGGACAGTCAAAAAGCCCAAGGCTGAATCAGTTCAATCTTCACAGGTTAGACTAAACTGCATAGATTGAACTGATTAGCAAGTGAACAGACTTTCACTTTTGATTTTGGAAATGCAGCCACATACCTGCAGTGGCCCAGGCTAGAAACTTGGTCGGGAGGGGGCACTAGGGCACACTCCCCTGCTCGGCTGGAGCAGACAGCTTGGATCAAGGCCAGCCAGCCCACCTTTTGGGGGGTGGGGGTTGTAGGGGAGCATCCTGGGATGCTGGGGGACTGTGAGTTAACTTGAATCTGGAGGGGATTTTGGCCAGAAGTTCAACAAACTGATTTAACCTAAAACAGTTAAGTCTGATATTGCATCCATCTAAGTTTATCTTAAACCAGTTTCAGCCATTTTGAAAGTGGTTTATGTGCTCTGAATTTCTGTTGTGTTACCAATTTGAAGCGTTTTCTGATAGCTTGTACCAGTTTATGTGCAATTTGTGTCCCTAGCCCAGAAGCACTGACATTTTTGGGGGGCTGCCAATTTCCTTTAAAAGCATCAGAAAGCAGAGTAAAAGTAAAAAGCCTCATAAATTTATTGTTTTAGAATGTCTTATGAATTTTAAACCAATCTCATGATTTTTGGCATTTAGTTCTCATGATTCTCAAAATCTCATGATTTTTTGGCATGATTTCTGGCAATTGTCCTTAATTATTTTTGGCTTTCACAATCCTCAGTCATCTGGCAGCTTCTACACTCAGTAACAATACATTGTCTACTTCATCCTCAATTTTTGGTTACTTTTTTTAGCTCATTACTATATTTGTCATTCTAGTGCCTGTTAGTCTCAGTAAAGCTATGAATTTGCCCTGTCTCTTATCCCCAATGCAGAGCTCAGGGCATAGTAAGCACTCAATCTATGCTGGAAATGAATGGAGAACATGAAGTAGACATCTGAAGAGTAGGTCATAGAGGAAAAATTTCCTTGCACAGGTTGCAACTTACATTCTCTTTGTTCATTTTGTTGGATGAGGTTTTATGTGCCTCTACTAAGTCTCACTCGATTCTAAACAGGTAGCAACAAGATGAGATCTGCTAGAACAATCAGTTTCCTTGCTTACTGTAACTGTACACCAAGTCCTGGCAGTGGCTGTTCACACAGTCTATCAATATTTAATGTGGAGGCCTGATGAGATTCTAATGGAATCCTAATCTTTTTCTGAGTGTTATATAGAATGTTAAGATCCTGCTTTAGAGATTCAGTTGCTCAGTTATCTGAGAGTTGCTGTTACTTTGGCTTTCTTCCAAGTAATGCAGATATCTGAAGGAGTGAAGATTTCATGTTATTGGAGGAGATTTTTGCAAATGTATTGTTCTGGGAAATATGTAATGCTCTTTTTAGTTTTTTTAAAAAACTTTTCCTTTATATATTTTATGCATTCTTTCACTATTTATCACCATTATAGTTTTTCAGAATTATGCTTGCTAAGGAGGAAGGATATTTCATATGATGGCTAAGCTAAGAAGAAAATTTGCATGTTCATGATTGATTCTTCTTCAGGGCAGGTGGTTAATGGAGATTGCATTTTCAAAAAATGTTGGTGCCCTATTTCTTGTTGTTTCCCCCTGTCCTTTAAAGAAAGAATTTATCTCTCTTTAGACCATCAGTTTCACTTAGGAACCTGTTAGAACCCAGGTGAAAGTGTTGGAGCCCAAGTGAATGATTAATATATCCAAAGTGTACTGGAAAAAAAACCCCATGAAGCAGACAATTCAGTGCAGACCTGCAGATTCTTGCTAACTCTTGTTTAACTTAGCCAGGTTAGACTAACCTGCAAAGATTAAATCGATTCAGACTCAGGCTTTTTTAATGTTTGTCCCTAGCCATAATGTGCTCACTGCAATGGTAGCAGTGTACCTTCATATTCTACCATCCTTTAAAAAATGTTTTAAATGTTGTCAAAAATATATTAATATCTATTCAGAAAAAATAGACAAATTGAAGAGACACATTTTAGGCTTATTTGCTTGTCAAGACATGTCAGGTGTTCTGAGAACAATGTTTGCAGTGCTTTCTTGAGTGGGTGCTTAGAAGGTCCAGGAAAGCAGTTATTAAATAATTCAGAAGGAATTATTAGATAAGGGGAATATTTTTCTTTGAAAATTTATGTTAATTTTGAATCATTGCAGATTTTTCAATTAAAAAAGATTTCAATAGATTTTGACTATATATTTATAACATGATACTCAGCATCAAAGAATATATGTCATATACTATTCTCATTTATGGTAGAGATTAATGTGAGGTACTGTAATTTTATTAACTGGGTAATGCTGTATATATATGAATATGTTGCTAAGTATAATTTTAACTGAATTGCAAAATTATTTTTTCCAATATATAAATGAAACCATAATAAAGGTAAATCAATACAGCAAAAGCTCTGTTATCTGGCACCCATGGGGAATGGGGACCGTGGGGGCTGAACAAAACTTGAAGTGCCACAGTGGACACTTCTGGTTTGCTTTTGCTGCATCAACCAGCGTTGGCAGTTGATGGAGCATGCCAGTTGCTGAAGTGCAGGATAACGCGGCTTTTACTGTAAAACTTCTGTGTGAACTTTGAATGGTTTTACAGTTGTACATTATAAACTGAAATTATTTTTGTATCTCAACTGATAATCTGTTGAGCCTGTAAACTCTTGCAGTTTGGAAGAATTAATATAGAACAATTAAATGAGTACCATTGCCATGGTATTCCAGCAACATGCTAGAGTGGAAAAAATCCCTCCTGTTTGTCAATGTCATGTCTTTTTTTCTTCTGTGTGTTCAGGTCTGTGCCTTGTTTGCTTTTGTCAATGGTTTTGGTCTCTTTTCAGCAAGCCTCAAGGATTCCATTCCATTCGCAGTTGCAGATTTATATTACTAAATATCCTACTCCTTTATAAATAGGACAAGCCTGTGCTTAGTCTTTTATGTAGGAAATATGTCATTCTAATTCTTGAAGAGTTTAGGTATACAGAAGGAGAGTTGTTTGAGTTGTTCTGGATTGTTGGGGTGCAGAGTGATTGGCTCTGGTTATAGAGCGAACATATTCCTTAGCATCTTTTTAACAAATGTGCTTGTTTTACATTGTGTCCCTTCATATTCAACACGCTGCCAGTGGATTTTTTCCCTCTAAAACCGCACTTCCTTGTGAGGGGAAGCATGTTACACCTTGTTGTAATCTACATGACCTCTTTGCTATGTTAATATTGGGCATCCCTAAAGATAAACTTGCCTGAATTGATATGTACTGGCGGTTTTGGGAAATAGGACAGGATTTTCCATCTTTTTGTCATAGTGATAAAATGTGATAAAATATGAATTTAGGAACATAAATCCTGATACAGGAAAGCATATAACTTGTGTTTAACTGTAAGCACATGCTTAAAGAGCTTTGCTAATTGAGAGTTTCTGGCATCCTAATCTTCTGGTTTTGTGTAAAATATTTGTTATCGGAGATACTTCGTTGTCCCTGCATGCCTTGCAGCATGCACTTTTTCAGTTTATTGTTCCACCTGCGATTGCCTATATTATCTGGTTGTAATCAAAAACACAGAACTAAATTCAAATTGGATGTAGACCATTGAAGTTGTACCCCATACAAGTATGAATTTGAGTGACAATAATAATGGAATTGTAGGATGCTTCTGTATTTCACATCTGTGGGAGATTCATAAATTCCTTAAATATCATTTTGACTTCTCTAAGAATGCACTCATAAAGTTTTCATCATGATTGAAATCATGTAACTATGTAAACCCACAACTGGTAATTATGCAAATATTATAGTGCTAGAAATATCCTTTTTTAGCTGTATTGTGCCACACAGTTTTGCTCTATGTTTAGTCGTCTGGTAGTATTTCTCGGATTAATTTAATTGAATTGTGTTCAGTTTTCATAAACTGTTTTTCATCCCTATCTGGGTTGCTGCAATAAAACATAATAGTGACAGGTACCTCAAGCCACATTCAGTACACAAATGTTAAATAATTACCACACAAATTAGTGCTTTGTAGGGAGAAAATTTTGCAGCAGGTATTGCCATTGCACCCTGCAAAGTCTGCAGAGGCCAAGGGACTCATGAACAGGTCCTATAGTCCTTGTAAACTACAAAATCAAAAGTCAGTTTTGAAAAAGACAACTCTTGTTGTAATACATGAGCAATGGCGGGCAAAAGTTAATGCTGCACTTACAAATTTACCTTCGGTGCAAACAGGCTTCACTTTTTGAGTGCTTAAGCTTAACAAATCTTAATATATTTGAATGGTATAAAATTATAGCATTTGAGGAAGAAAACTTCAGTAGTCTGTAATTGAGATACATAACTCCTAACAACTTTAATGATGGTGGAAGACTAACTAAATGATATGTATTCACTGGATACTTTTGAAAAAAATGGAAGCAATCTATATGTTATCTGCATCCTGTGCATTCTTTTATAAATGTACACACCTTACTCTGTCAGTGACATTTCCAATAAAACAGAATTCCAGTCAAGAGGAAATGCACACACGTCTGTTCACTCAATTTCCAGTCTACAGTGAAATGCTGGAACAATTTATGTACACTTAGATTGATAGGAAGTATATAGGATTTTAGTGTTACTGTCATCCCTTTTCTGGTATATATACTTGTCATCATTCTAGGCTGAAAGTAGATTAGAAATCTAAAACTTAGTGCCAACTTTGTTAACTACTTGAAAAAGAGTCATTCAGGAAATAATATCCAGAACTATGATCAGTTTTAAAATTTAAAACATAACGTGGCATACACAATGTATAGCTCCTTAGCTTGATTACAGAAACATGAATGTAAATGAGGTTTAATAGAAAAACTCTATCAGTCTCTGGCAACTTGTTACTTAATTAGAACCCAGTGTCATGTGTTTCATGCCTGACATTAGTTTCTTTCTTTTCCAGGAGAGTACTGTGAAGTGAATGCTCGCTCAGGCCGCTGCGCACCAGGAGTATGTAAAAACGGAGGAACCTGTGTTAACCTGCTGGTAGGAGGTTTCAAATGCGAGTGCCCTCCAGGAGAGTACGAAAGACCTTACTGTGAAATGACAACAAGAAGCTTCCCCCCCCAGTCATTCGTTACCTTCAAGGGGTTAAGGCAGCGCTTCCATTTCACAGTCTCCCTCATGTAAGTTAATCCCCTTCTTTCTTGAGATCAGAGGATTCCAGTCCAAATCTGTGATCTCTCTTTGATTTGGGTTGAGGTAGAGCAGGGCTGTCCAACTTCTGGGAGGCCACATGCACACATGCACACATGTTGTGAAGGCCACATGCTGTGAGGGCAGCACAAATCCCATTCCTTCTTCCCCTCTTTCCTCCCACTATTGGTGCCACATGGGCAGCAAGTTCATTGGGCTTCTTCCCACCATGCTGTCCTGCCCCAGAGACCATGGCCACTGTGGCTTCAGGAGTACTGGGGGGAAGTGGTGGCTGGGTGGGAGTCTGCAGGCCATGCATGCACCCCCCATGAGTCAGATGCAGCCCACAGGCCATCAGTTGGACAGCCCGAGGGTAGGTGCATATTGAAGAGCACTGAGTTAAACATGTCTGACGGAACTGCCATTGATTCCTATGGTAGATGGAGCATGAACATCTTTGGCATTTTTCTTCAATAATCCAATACTATTTAATACCCAAATTGCATTTAAATCCTGCCCTGCTAATCACGTGAAGCTATGTGAAATGCTGTTGGCATTCCTCATATATTTGGTTTATTTATGCATTTATTTGATTCATATGCTGCTCTTCTCAACAAAGACTCATGGCAGCTTACAGGAAGGAAATAGAATAACTTATAAAAACAACAGGAATATTTTTAAAAAATATAAAATAACCTCATTCCCTCAACAGTATCCCAGCTTAGCCCTGCTTGCTAAATGCTTGATCAGAGAGGAAAGTCTTAAACCACTTCTAGAAGATGTCTAGGCTCAGGTTCTGGCAAGTCTTAAGGAGAAACAAGTCCCAGAGCTGAGGAGTGACTACCGAGAATGACTTCCATGTGTGTTTACAACTATCATATTCATGTTCAGTAGAAAGTAGTATTTTTTGTCTGCATATGTAGTTTTTCCTACTGAAGTTTCACAAAACCTTGTATCTGAATATAGATAAGAGATGAATTGTAGCCCTTATGGTTTAGGAGAGAGCAGATATGCCAGAAGTGTCCATAGAGAAGGCAAGAAGGAGCTTGTGCAAGGAAAGCATCTCCAATGTGCAGCCAGTAGAGACATGCCTGGCATGTCCTGCAGTAGCATATCTCACATTTGATCTGGCTAGATGCCTGCCAACCAGTTGCTGCCCACATTTAGATCTGTGGTGGGTGCAGTCAGCAAGCTGTGATTGCCAGGTTCCTTATCCCCTGTCATCACACCTGGCCTCAAATAAGGACATTTGAATAGACAGAGATACGGTGGGAGGTTAGAGCTCCACAAAACCCATTGCTTGTCTCAGGCTGCATTAACTGTGTAGCACAATGCCTGCAGATTTTGACCAGGGAGATAATGACCAGTTCTTAGGTCTCTACTTCCAGACTACCCTTTCATTGAGTCAGAATGCACCGAGTCATCTGGGCTGCTTGCAGATGTGAAAAACAAAAAAAGAAGGGGTTTTAATTTAAACTTGGCATGCTCCTGTGCCAATCCCAGCACATGCCCAGAAGAGGCAGTGCATTAGTTTGACCCTGCTTTGCAGCATCTGTATAGATTGGGCATTTCAGTGGGGCTTTTTGGCACTTTTATCTAATGGCTGATTGAATCAGCTTTAGATAAAAATGCCAAAAAGCCCCACTGAAGCACCCAATGTATCCAGATGCTGCAGAGCTGGGTTGAAAGTAACATGCTTCTTCCTGTAAATCACAATTTGTTTTATTTTTTCATGTCTGCAAACGGCCTTAGGCTCTGTGAGTGCCAAAGACTGGCAGAATGATATTTTGGAAGAGACTGTGTCTGTCTTTGCAAGGAAACTGTGTTCCCATGGATGGAGGGTCGAAATTCTCCCCTTTTTTTATTGTGTCCCAAATAATTATTCTGCAGATAAGGCAACTTCTTCTGTCCCTTCAGTCTCTTAATGTAGGTTTTCCATAGATAGGAACAAGAGGTCAAGGCTCAGTGAGGCCTAACTAAACCAATATTACTCAATTTGTAAATGCAACTTTTTTCTAATAAAGGTGCAGCCTGGAATCTTTTAGTGATTTAGCTGGTTGAAGTTGACCCTTGGTTTCTAAAGTTGACTTTGACCAGGAACATCACAGGAAAATGCGCTACCCTGTTAGGATACCAGGAAGAGGTTTAGGGTTAGTTAATATATACAAAAGAAGAAGTAGCAATTAGCATTGGATGTTTGCCCACCTTAGGAAAAGAGGTCAGGATTAGTTAAGGTTTTAGTTCAGATCAATTAATTTTCCTAATCTAAGCAAATCCTAGAAACACAGCTTGTTGCTTTACACCCAAGTGTGGCCCTGCTACTCCTTTGCAGGATGTTTTCATTTTACCTTTCTTGTTCCTTAACATTGTGGTGGTCAAAAATTCAATAGAGCCTTGTAAGTGTAGTTAAATCAACATGTGTAGATACAATATATACAATTTGCCAAGTTCTTGAGCTAAAGGGGCCAGTGTGTAAAGGCTCCACATATAAAGTACTGCATTTACATGAGGTTCCCCCCTACACCCCCTCAGCATGGAGAAAAATGCCCTTCATGTTATATTTGCATACAAGGAAACCCTGCCCCCATTAAATATGTTATCTATCATTAAACTGCTGCCAGAAGCATCATGTGCTCAGTAATAGAAACTAACTATGAAGTTTTTAAAATGTAGCCCACATTGAGCATGTCTGTAAAATACATGGCCAACATTGGGCAAACACATTGATGGGAACCTACTACAAGGCTAGGTTAGTGCAGCCCATCCAAAAAATCTATAGTGTCCATTGCACTTAGCCCCCTCACCACCAACTCTTAGATTTGAGTAAATATGGTACTATGCGTTGGTTTTGATCAAAACTGATCCTAGGGCATGGTAAGAAAGTTTCCAAACATCCCTGAAAAACAAGGGAAAGCTGAGAGATGAAAGGATTTAACCTGTCAGATCCATATTCAGTGTAAATGAAGGAGTGTTCTATGGTCTCTGCCACGTGGTTCTTGTTCTATTAGAGGCCTTTCCCAGCCGGGCTTTTAGGAAGGGACCCTTGTAGTGTAGGGTGCTTCTGTTTAGTATAGCTCCATCTCACTTTGTGGGAACTTTATGGGAAACAGCAAACTAGCCCAATAGTTTTCACATCAGGGAGCTATGTCAAAATCTTAAAGACCTCTATAACGGTGATGCTTAATTTTTTTAGCCTCAGGGCACCCCTTTCTGAGTTTCAGGAACCTAGCAGCACCATTTTGGGAAACACTGAGTTAAAATTTAGGTAGTGAAAGGTGAGGATGGCAGGGGCAGGACCTCACCCTACTGTGCCCTCCCTGCCCCTGGTCTGTACCTAAAGGCTAAGAACAGACAGTCTAAAAATCCAGGACAGAATTGATTCAATCTAGGCACCTTCCTCTAAGGTGCGTAGGTTGAACCAACAACCAACAGAACTGACATTCAAGTTTTCAATTGGGAAAGGCAGGGAGAGGCCTGTACTGATACAGGCCAGTAGGCAGGGGGTGCTGGAGCATGCGTCTCAGTCTGCTGACCATTGCCAGCCCACCCAAGTGTCCCCAACCCTCTGCTGTCCTCCCACAGGGGGTTAAGGAGCCCCCTGTCTGGGTGCTGGCCCACCTTGGGGGAGCTTCCCCCTTTGGAGGTTTCCCCCTGCCTGGGGTCCTCAGCCTTGGCAGCCCTGGGTTGTTGAGTGGTATTTCCACCCTTCCCCTTTCCAGGTGCTGATTGCTGCCACAGGATGGAGGGAGAAGGAGTCCTCCTGGCTGGGTGCCTGCCCATGCAGCCCAGTGTGGGGGCACTGGGGAGCCCTCGCCTTGCAGGACTTTCCCTCACCCCCGCCCAGGGTGCCCCAGCCAGGGGCAGCCCCAGGGAGCTGAGGGGGATTATTCCACTCCCCTGCACTAGTTCTACCTCACAGCAACTGAGGCAAAACCAAGGAGAGAATTTTCCTTCCCTCGCTGGGGCTGCCTGAGACTCACAGGGGCTGAGGCAGGCAGTTTTGGGGTTCGGGAAGGGACGAATTCCCCTCAGCTGCCCTTGGCTAGGGGACCCTGGGCTGGGGTGAGGGGAAGCCCCCCATGGCATGGGCTTCCTGGTGCCGCCGTGCTGGGCTGCATGGGCAGGCACCTGGCTGGGAGGAGGACTTCTCCCTCCCTCCTGTATCAGCCACTGAAGCAATCAGCAGCTGGGAAGTGGGTGGGGGAGTCCTGCTGGGGATGAAAAGCTCCCACTACAGAGGCTTTCCCTTTCATGTGCTTTGTAGACCCCGGCTAGAGGGGCTGGAGGTCTGTTCCCCTGTTGCCCCCCCCCCTTCCCTATGGGCTGACAGTTGCAGGATAAGGAGCAGAGGGGCGAAGCAGTCCCTACTTCACTGGAGCAAACAGCATAGCCCATGGCTGCAAAGCATCCTGGGATGCTGGGGGACTGTGAATTAACTCAACCAGGAAGGGATCTGGGACAGAAATTCCATAAACCAGTTTGACTTAAATCAGTTAAGTATGCTACTACATCCAACCAGGTTTATTGTAAACTGGTTTTGGCCATTTTGAAAGTGGCTCATGTGGACTGAATTTCTGTTCTGTTACAGGTTAAAAACCAGTTTCCATTCACTTAAACTGGTTTATGTCCCCAGCCGAAGAGACAAGTGCTGCCTTCCCCCCATCCCCCCCAACCTTTCCACAGCTGCTCCTTTGGCAGGTTGCATGCGAGAAGTTGGAGCCACATGCACCTGCAGCCCTTCCTGCTGGGCCCAGGAGCATGGGAACAGCATGGTAAAAGTGCAGTCCTACATCTGCTCATCCACAAGCCCACCTGCATAAAGCAGAGTGTGCTTCTGGGAGAGCAGGGGTGGCCAAGGCTTCTGGGAGGTGGGAAACAGCTGCAGGCAAGTGCTTGTCTGAGGTACACTGAGCACCTGGACAGGAGAAAAAGCAATTTCTTTGATTCTGGCATAGGGGCTGGGCACTTCCACAGCCTTTAGAGGGTATCACAGCACCATGGCACCCTGCCTGAGAATCGCTGGTCTATAAGGTGCTACACTTTCTGCTAACACGGCTAGCTACACTTTTCTCTAGATCATATTTAGTGTCTTGGATGATGTAATATCTGCTCTTGTAGATTTGAGAGGTAACTTTTTTATATTGGTTATTTGGTGTTTATTCTCCTTCAACACAGGTGGGAAAACTACTTGAGGATAATCAAGAATTAGAAGTTTGGCTAGACAAAGGATTTGCTGTTTCATATTTTGTGATTTAGGAGCATTCCTGTAATCCCACGGTGTCTAGCATCCCTCAGCCTTAGATTCCTCTCACAGCGCAACGCGTGGTGGTGGGGGTAGCTCATCCTCGTGACTAAAAACGGATTTTAAAAATAACCCATATGTTCACTGACTATGTTGCAAGCTAATGAGCATTCCCAGCGTTTAAATGGTTTGGAGCCTATAGGATCTACACACACCATATGTTCTCACTAAGGGCAGATGCCATAGTGTTTCTAAGGAAAGATAATTTAAAATCTCATGCTTATTTACCATAAACCCTCCTTGTCTGTGCTAAGCTTTGTTCTTATAGTTTGGGACACTTACCAGCTATGTCCTGCTTTTGCCACCACTAAACATGCATTTTATCTATCTTGCCTCTCTTCAACAGTTCCTTCATTCACTCTTACGCAAAGCGATATCATCAACTGGAAATTGTTTAGAATAAGTTATTTAAGGTGATTTATAAATTACATGTCTTAAGTTTAAAAAGAAAACAGTAAGAGTTCTTCCCTAAAAAAAAATGTAGAAATTCCTTTTCCTTGCCTGCTGAAATGTATCCAGCAAAGGAAATTTTGTGACCCCAAAACCAGCAACACTAAATTGCGTGTGTATCAGACAGGAAATGCAAATGATCATCAACGAAACAGTGAAACTGAATGCAGGAAATTAAAACAGACTGAAATATTTCACAGTAACACTCTCATTCAGCTAATTAATCGTTTTGGCCTTACAGGAAAGCATATATCTGTTTTTTACCTCTTTTCTTTAAAGATGTTTTGTTAGAGCTGGTAGAATTGTTAATCAAAAATACAGGTTGTTTTCCAAAACATTTTGAAAACATTTCACAGGATTGTGTTGATTTTGAGAAAAATGTTTTATATAAAAAGTCAAAATGAATTATTTTGATGTTATTGTCAGGCTAATGTTAAAATGTTTGCATTAAAATTTAATAATTTTGATTAATTTAGCTTTTATTTTTCTGCTGTTTTAAAATATGAATTTTAATATTGCATTAAGTGTTTTTCTTCATGCATACGTTATACAGTTATCAAAATGAGAGGCCTTAAATCATTTTTAGTATTCTTTCCTGGGAAATTTCCAAAATTTAAGTTAGTTTTAAAAGTATCATACAGTTACAGTACAATTTTATTTCATGAGATCAGGTGACTGATGTGGCATAATTTTTCAGAGTGATTTGATTGTACATTCTTCACTATAGTCGTTACATGAAAAATTTGTGTTCATCTATGTGTCATAGGTTTGCAACCAGAGAAAGAAATGCTCTTCTTCTTTACAATGGCCGTTTTAATGAAAAGCATGACTTTATTGCCCTAGAGATCATTGAAGAGCAGATCCAACTAACATTCTCTGCAGGTAAGGTGTTCCTTGACTATGTAGTCTGACATTTCTAAAGTTGCAAAGAGAATTACTTGTATTTTAAACCTATTTAAAGACTATGAAGTTTCTTTATTTCTTCATCAATTATTTTTACTACTGATTGATATGGTACTTTTTCATAGTTTTAATAATTTAACCAGATTTAATAATTTAGCTTTCATTTCTTGCATTCTTTATTTTTTTATATTATGGTTTGGTATCCACAGCTTTTCAATCATTGACCAATAACAACATGGGACACTTATCAAATCATTTTAATTTGCCACTGAAGACCAGACCCAAATCTCATCAAAATCAGCTGAAAAACTTCCCTTGGTTTCAGTAGGAATAGAATGAGGCCCCCCAAAAGTAAGACATTTTATCAGTCCCTCACTCCTTCGAGGTGGGCAAGAGAAAGGAGAATGCAGTGTTTTCATGTTTATCAATAATTTAACATTTCTGTTACATGACTAAGTGGAAAGAAAGATTAAAGAGCACTGTGAACTTGAGAAGAGAACTTGAACGCTGCCAGTGTTACTAAATGTCAAGGAGCTGCTTGATACTTCTAATATAAAGAAATATATTTTGGGAGAGGTACTTTTTGACAGGAACTATTTACCATAAGTAAAGCTTGCCAAGTATTTGGGCATTTATAGGTAGGGTGTATCATTCTTTCATGTTAATAGAAGTTCATCTGCCATTGGTAATGTAACTAAGAATTCTTATAAATAGAGAGGACATTAGAATTCAGATCCAACATAGTAACTATCTTGACAAAATGTGCGAAGAAGCTAGCAAGATGTTTCAGCTGCAGCATTCTTTGTTATAGTAGTGGCACTCACTTTCATAGATAAGGAGCATAATGGTTATAAACCCAGAGTGAGTTTATAACTCTACAACAAAAGATTTAACAGCAGACTGACAGCTGGCCTTGTAACCCATACTCACTTAAATGAGTGTTACCCTTATCTTTTTGTGATTAAATATTTTCATTGGTTTTTTTTCTTTACTATGTGCCAGCAAAGCAATGTGGTATATGCTATGCATGTTATCCTAAAATAATACATCAAAGAGAGGAAAAAGTAACAGTGAGTCAGGGGAAAAGGACTGCCTTTTATTTTCCACTTAGTAAAACTGCTGTCAGTAGAATTCATTCATGCATTTTATAGCACCTCCACATGGCTGCAGCTAGTACTCCTCTAAGCAATAGGAAGAAGCAAACTGAACATTCACTGCTAGGGATGACTGGAAAACAAGGAACTAATTTTACAGACATTTTAAGTTTTAGGCATTTGGTTTAATTGTATACTGGAGGAAAAACTGAGACCTTGGGAAAATATTTTGTAAAAATAGTGGGGGAAGACAAAGAGGGCAAGTAGAGAGGCAGAGGGTATCCAGAAGAGCAAACAGATCAGGAATTCAGGGATTTACCTAGGAAATAGAAGGCCCAGGTTCAAGTGCCTGTTTTGTGTCATTTTGGAGCAGGAGGCAAGAAACAAAGTTCATACCTGAAGTACTGAGTTGTTGGCTGCATCTTATATTCTGAGGTGGTTCTCTGTCTCTGCACTTGATCAGAAATTCAGTCCTAGATGAAAGTTTCCTCAAAATGTATGTGTTTCCACAAAAAGTTTCAGTTTCAACGTGTGGACATTTTCTGTTGAAAAAAGGATTTGTTGAAAAATGCCTAACCATCTGTCTTCATTGACACAATGGAAAATAAAACAGGCAATACATTGTTTATGGCCTGATTCAAAGCCCGTTGAGGTAACTGAGACTTTTCACTGACTTGAAGAGGCTTCAGCTCAAGTTCTTAGTCAATATCTCACATCCCCATACTAGCTGATGAATAAGTTTAATACATTTGCCTGGAAGGAATTATTTTTAGCTTTTTTAAATCCAGCAGGACGGATGACTAGTGGTTGATACAGTGGTTTGATGATGATTTCCATCTGGGTAGTGAAGAATAAATGGCACTGGCTGTTTCCCTCAAGCAATTTCTTTGTTAAGATGAAGAAAAGAAATAGGAACAATGATCGTGCAAGTGCTATGTTGAATGTATGATGTTCTAAAACTCTGTAGTCTGAGGAGTGCTACAATAGGTATTAGATGGGCAAATGTTTTTGCATATATTTGTATGTGGGTATATGAACATATACATGCAAATATAATCAGCAGCATAACATGGAGGGGGTGAACAGGGCCTGTGCCCAGTGCTGTCTAGGGAGTGGTATCAGAAGGACAGGGAGGGCATGCCTTGCCTCTCCTTCCCATCCCTCACTGTGCCTGCCCTTTCCAACTATGGCTTCAGTGGCAAAAAGATAGCATGAAAACTTCCCCACGCCCCCCAGCAGCAGCCAACCCTACTCCTCCTTAGAAAACTATAGGCCAGGTACAGACATTACACTTTTACTGGTATAAGTGATCAGAAACCGGTCCATACCCGTAACAGAAAAGAAGTTCCGCGCGCACAGTCTGAGATTTAAAAATGGTAGAACCCAATCTAAGATTTGCCCCCTGTCCCACCAAAGGGTGAATATGCATTCTGTTTGCTACCAGTCTAAACTATGCTACCTATAGAAAACTGCATAACTTAGTTCTGTCATGGGATTTTTGAATGTCTGTACCTACCCAGAATTCCCAGAATGCCGTGTACTGCACGACACATACTGCCCGAACTGCGGCTTGCTGCTGCTTCTACACACTGCCTCCTCCTGAAGCCCAGTTTATGGGGTATGTAGAGGTGGAAGAATGAGAGAGGACTGTCCCAGACACATTATTACCATGTTATACCTCTGCATATATTTTCTAAATGGAATAATCTTGTTATTTTATATTTTTCTTTTCTAAAAAGGATATTACCAGGTTGCATTTATGTCCAATTTGATTTGATTAAAAGAAAATATACAAAACATAAAATCAGTGAAATGGACTCTATCTCCATTGGAGTCTGTGTGCTCCTTAGCCATGAAAATTGGTTCTGTAATTTTCACTGGTTAAATCCAATGCACCTGTATCTATGTATCCTGATATATTTTACAGAAGGTTGGGCCCTTTGTATCTAAGGGCTTCTAAGTTTTGCTTCTTCATTATTATCTACAAAACTCAAAAACAGGTTTTAAGGAAAACTTTCTTAATTGATGATTGTTATGAAATAATGCATGATAGCTTGAGTGGATATTTTTTGTTTTACTTATTCTATATTCCCTGTCCTTTGCCTGCCTGAACATGATTCAGATTGTTAATACAACACCTTGAAGATAAATGACATTAGGCTAAATTCTGCTGTTACTTATACTCATGTAAATTTAGAGACTCTGTTTAAATGAATGAAATAAAGTTTGAATTTGTACTAGTTCAACTGATTGAATTTCCTTTGGATATTTGGAGATTCTCTTATTTAAAAGAAGAATGGTTAATGTTTTAGAGTTATAGGTGAAAACTAATGTGGTAATGCAAGTTTTGGACATGTTAGCTGTCAAGTTTGCCTGTAGAGTAACATGTCATAACAATGTTAGCAGGTAACAAGACAAAATAATTAGGGATCAGTGGAGCTTCACGGAGTGAAGACATGAATTTTTAACATATTTTTGTTTCAGTGAAAGAGAACCCTTTCAGAGGATGTAGATCGGATTCAAAACTAGGTTATATTGTTTAAATAAACAAAGTGTAAAGATCTGGCATTAAGAAATAGTTATGGACACAGAGGATAATAGCAGAGAGTTAGTGGCAAGTAGAGAGAAGAATGTGGTCTTTATGTGCAACATGTGATTGTGTGAGTTTTGTTAACTTATGGGAGGGGAATCTTTTCTGTGATGTATTATATAGACAGTTATTTTAACGTTCTTTCTTCTCTTCTTTCACTGGAATAGGAACTTTTGTGAAAGTGTTTAAAAGGGTAGGAGGGGAGATCCTATTCAGTCCGCCAGGCACATGTGTACTTTTGCTGTAAATGTTTGTCTTGTTATTACTTTGGAGCAGCACAAGTAGTCACCGTGCTGGTTGTTCTTGTTTGCATACCTGCTTAAAACCTTTTACTTGTTTAAATCCAACATATAGAAAACCCCCTTAATTTTAAATGATGAAAAGCTGCCAAACACATTCTTTAATCACAAGTTTATAAATTATATAAATACACAGAATATTTTTTTGAATACTGTGTTCACTGTTGGTGTCAAATTTCAGATTCTTAGCTTCATCTAGAAGTAATTTCCTTTCATGTACCACTGTGCTTTAGTCAGTACAATACTCCACAAACCAGAAATCAGTTTTGTGAATGAAAGAAGAAGCAGCAACATTTATATAAACTTTCTCAGTTGGCAGCTTCTTCAGTTTCTCTATTTGTCATACACATGTGCTACTATAGAATATAAAGATGTATTACCAAAATTACTTTCATATTTATGCACCCAACATTCCAGTAGAATGTAACAAAATTGAGGGTACTCAGGCTCTCACAGAATCAAACTCTAAATGCTTGCATATTATATTAACATTTGTGTATCCTGCCTTATATCTGGGTGTCTTTGGGGGAATGTGATCTACTGTATTCAAAGCAGAACTAATTTTGTATTCATGTTTTGAATGTTGCAGAGTATGATGATAAGTGACAGTATGAAATTGAGGTTTTTTTTCATTCTCTTAAAATATTTTAACTAACATTTCAGGGGAGACCTCTACCACAGTTTCACCATTTGTCCTAGGAGGAGTCAGTGATGGACAGTGGCACTCTGTTCAGGTGCAATACTACAACAAGGTAAGACAGAGAACTTCAGTGATGCTGTCTATAAAACACTAAAGGCAATGAACCAGATCCTTAGTTGGCTTACTCTTAGGATATTTTCATTAATTCTGATGGAGTGACACCACTTTACATCAACTAAGGATCTGGTGTAGTGTACATAGCTAATCTTTATATATTGAAAACTGTTGTATTCTTCCTTGGATTACTGGATATCTGAGGCTAGTACCTTATAGAAGTCTCACTGGTGAGATACACATTTCCCAGCTGCTTTTTCACTTTTGAGGTTGTTCATATGACAGGTGGAAGGAGGAAGATGGTTGGTTTTTGCTGCCACAGCTTCTTTACCAGTGTATTTTCTCTGTGAGGAACCTCTATCAAGGTCTTTTGATTGCCTTTTGTTTTATTACCATTTTCTGACAATAATATAAATTACAGTGTTTAAACAGCCAGCACCACATATTATATATATTTCTATAGACGTTTAGAATCATCTCAAAAACTGCATACACTATAAGCAGAGTAAGTTGGTGTAAACTTTTGTTACTGAAAAATTTAGTTGTGACATTTGGTAATTTTCAGTCATCAGGACTGATCCAACTAAATCATTTTTATTAGCTTTGTGAAAAAAATAAAAGTATGAGCAATAAGATATAATGGAGAAAAGATTATTCCATGCACTCAACTGCACTTGCAATGACACTAATTAAATGAAAGATGTTGGGACTCCAGTGTGTTCTGCAGGTTTCTTATAAGAAAGGTAAAATGCTATTTGTTGATAACTAGGTAAGAGTTCTTTGTGCCCACGTTATTTCTGTCAGGTTCCTGAGGTTAAATACCAGCACATCATTTAGATGCAGATTTCAGAGCACCTGTATCTAACAAAATTAAATAATTCATTTAGTTATTGAAAAGTGGGTCTTCTAAGTCTGACATGGTGGCATTATAAAGGATTAAATAAGGAAATAGAAGAGTATTGTTAGCTGCATTAGAAAGGAAAGAAGATACTTATGTAAGAAGATAAATAGAAGATGATAGATTAATGTAACCAGCAGGTTCTTTTTTCCTTCAGTTCTTTGTCCTTTCATCACAACTTGTGAGATATTTTGAGTGAGAAGATTAGAATTTTCATTAGGCTTCTTGATACTGTCTCCTTGCCTAAAGATATTGAATGGAGGAAACAAATTCATTTTCATGTATAGTTTTATTCTACTATTATGTATGTTCTTTTTTACTGCACTATGGAGAAACCAAAGTATAACTTGGTGTATGTGTGGCCCATGACATGATTAGAATCTTTTTTGTAATCTGTGATGCACTGTATTTTTATGTGCTTAGCTTTTTTCAGTAAATTGCTATACAAAAAATGATAAACACTTCATATCTTTCATGGTGACATTTTCCTCTTCATGGGCCAAAAAGCATATGAAAAGAACATACATCAGCTCGTGTCTCAATTGTACAGAGTGATCAGTAGTTTAGAATTCTGAAGTGTGCCAAAAAGATAAGGCACTGAGACAGCTCCAAGATATTCTTTAAAAGGCAAAGAAAGCCTATGTAGAGTTTAAAAACAAGCCTTTGCCTCATTTTCAAAATTCATTTCTGTTTAATAAAGTGATAGTACAGCTATTTTGCTGTTCTAACAAATTATTTTGACAGTTTTAAAAACATAAGCAATTTTTAGGTTTTTAGCTCTGACTTTAGGACCTGTCACTCCAAACTGGAGTGGAAAAAAACCCACTGGAGAGTGGCCCTGGATGCTGGATGTTAAGGCGCACTCACTCTTCTCTTCCCAACAGTAAATCAGAGACGTATTGGAAAGGAAGAACCATTCTGCAATGCCAGGGAGAGTCAGTGTTTGTCTATACATGACATTAACTGTGCAGTAGCCTAATTCTACTGTGCAGTACTATGCAGGGCAGAAACAGTGCTAATAAGCCACTGCGCAGTAGTGTTAGGCTGCTGCGCAGTTAGCATCACGAAAAAGCCGTGCACCAGCGCTACTGCACAGTAGTACTAGTTATTGTGCATTTATTTCATTCCTGGTTATACAGTTACTAAACTTAATGCGCAGTAACTATGGTGCATTAATGAATGTGTAGGCGCACCTTTAGAGTGCTCAGCATGCCCTGCGAGGTTCAGTAACTGGCTTTTTAGACCCTCTTGAGATGCGGCCCTTGCTTAACTATCTTCTTTGGAGGAGATTATTACAGATACTCACTTTCTGCTTTCCAATGTCTTTCTGGTTCTTTCTCATTCTGCCTCACAGTTTACTCCAGGGCTTTAGGAGAAAGGGATTCACAGGGGTTTAGCTGTGCTCTTTATTGTTGTATCCTTCCACCTAAGTTTCCTGTTCAAAATGTACCTAATCATACTTGAAGCAGATATGAGGTCACAGCTGTCTCTCCCCACCAACTTCCCCTTTCATTTCATGGCCTTTTTAACTGCTGGCAGGGCTGATTACATACAAATTTTATAAGCATGATTAGAGCTTGTGTCTGCACAAAATAAGAGAAATGAGAGCCTTATGCTTGTAAAATAATTCTAAAATATATATTCATATCTGCATTTTTTTTTTGGGAACAGGTTATTGGGATTGTTCATGTTAGGTCTCTCCTTCGTACATATAAATCATTGGCTTAATGGCAGATATTTGTTCTTGATCTCCTAACATTGTTGTGGAGGCTGTGGATAATCATTCCCTTTCTTCAGCCAGCTTCCTGACATAGAAACTCAATGCCCTATTACCATTGATAATTGACATCTCAAATAGGCTTATCAAGCATCAAAACATAGGATTTGATTCATCACTATATTACTCCAGTGTTATGCAGCATAACTTGGGCTGTAGACAGACATAACTTTTAACTGCTTTAAAAGAGAAAGGGTTGTTGCTACTTGGGAGTATGCATCAGTTGTTATAAGTGTTAGGTCTACACACTCCTGTAGTGGCACAGTAGAGCTAAATTGATGTAAATTAAACCCCAAATAAAACAGGTTTAAAGCTGCAATGTCTTTGCTGCACCTGCATCACTATAGGAGCAGGCAGACAGCTTATATGGGTGTTGTTTGTTATGTCTATGTATATATAGCCTCAGGGACTTTGAACTGGCATAGAAGTGGAGTAGCCTGGTTGTATATTTTGCATTCAGTGGGACACCACTGTACTGTTTGGCGCACCACTTCAGCTCTCCCCACAACCTCCTGTCCACCTCCAATTCCTGCCACAGGTGTTGGGAGGAAGAGACCTGGTTCCTCCCAAGGTCGAAGGATGAGGCAGAGCAGCTATAAGGGGGGTGGTGTGGCTCCCCAGGCTCTCTCCAACTTGGTGCCAGCCAGACCTGTTGTAGCTGCTGCAGCAGCAAAAGTAGCAGGGGATCAGGGCAGAAGCATAGTGCACCTGGTGCAGAGCAGGGGTAATATTCTGACTGCTGGAGTGTGGGGCCATGGTGTTACCTGCCATAGTTTAGGCTCTCTCCTCTCCAGCTGCTCCTGTTGCTGCTGAACAGGTGCGAGCATAGGTGCACCTAGGGGGTGGACTTCCCCTCTACCAGGGGTCAGCAGCATTTTTGGGTAAAGTGCCAAAAAGACCCACAACCTCAATTTGTAAGATGTTGGCATGCCAGGAGTGGACAGCAGAGGAGCTGCAAGGGACCCTATCCTTGTTGTGGCAGCACAGCCCTGGCTCCTTCTACAAGGTGTGTGAACCAAGCAAAATGTCTTTGTGTGCCATGCTCTGGCACACATGCCAGGCATTGCCTACCCCTGCCCTGTACTGATTTCAGCATTGCCTATAGCAGGGGTTGTCAACTGGGGGTATGTGTACCCCTGGGAGTACTTGGGAAGGCCCCAAGGGGTACGTGGTGGTGGCATGGAAAAGCAGGGGTACTTGGGAAGCACCACCGCCACATGCTTGTTCAGTGACTGGCTGCTGGGGGACCCCCTGATCTGCTCCATGTCCAGAAGGGGGTACCATCAGGAGGAGTACCCATCAGAAGGGGTACTCTCCTTAAAAAAGGTTGCAAAGCCCTGGCCTATAGCATGGACTCCCTGGTGGTTGTCAGTCTGCTGCCTGCGACTCATGCTCTGCTCATCACCTCCTTCCCAGATATGCTACTGCCTGTACCCTGGCTGCAGCAGCTGGTGGTGTCCACACCTGCCCCCACATTGCCGCTGCAATGTGGGGAGCCAAAGCTGTGGCACATAATGCCACTACTACTGCTGCTCTGTGGGGGTCAGCATGGTATTTCCTCTCACTCCTATCTTGCTCTGCCCAGAGCGTAAAACCTGCAATATCTGAGTGAGGGAGAAAAGGTCAGTGGGGACACATGGCAGATAAGGAGCAGCACCCTGTTTTCTCATCCATTTCCCCTCTCTCTCCTGTGGGGCATCCCAGGGAGGCTTAGCCTGGGGTTCTGCCCAGGCCTGGTGCAAGGAGCTCAGAACCCACTTCAGCAGGCTGCTTCCCCCTATCAGCAAAGAGCAGCACAGCTTGGACCTCCCTTTTCAAAATGCTAGATTTGTCCATGGAAACTGTTACCTTCTTATTCTGGTAAATCAAGTTTTCACATTTTCAGCAATTATTTAAAAAGTCAGCAAGGGTGGTCTGTGAGAACCACATACAAGTGTCAGGAATGTGCTATAATATCTAGAAAATAATGCAAACTGTGGAAAATGCCATTAAAGTTTTCCAGCACACAGAGAGCGAGTGACAGTGCAGCATGCTTCCAGGCAGCTACTCTTGCCAGGTGGTGATGGTGACAAGACAGAGCTATGACCCTCTTGTCTGCCCCCCTTCAGTTTCTCTTATGTAACAGAATTAAACAGCAGCAGAAGCAAATGACTAAAACTTTTTCTCAAAGGCAGTTCCTTGGCAGGCTTATGTTTGAACAGAGTTTGAGTAATAAATCCCTCTGAGGATTTTGCTAAGGCAGGGATAATGTAGAGATTTGAGTTATGCCAAGGCAAATGGGACGTTCTGTCTAAACTTGATATAACTTAGACATGTTTAAATA